TGCACGCTGTGAGCGCACCTCTTCACACTGCCCCATTAACTTGTCAAACCACAGCCTCGAGTCTACGTTATTTCCACGGGCACTGTGGGATCTTTGTGACCATCCCCATGCACACACTTAATTTCCATCCGCTCTGCGTCCAACAACGTCTCAGGTCAAACCAGTGTTTCGTGGACCAGGATCTGCATGGTGCCCAAGGTGGCCATAGCCTCCCCGTGAATCCACTGCAGCAGCCCTCTGCAGCGGAGCCAGGATTTCATGACTATTTGCACCTCACTGTGTTCATGTGTTCATATGTTCCCTGTGTCGTTTCTCACTGTTAAACATATTTTCATTTCCATGTGTGGACTGAATGGATTGTGACCAACATCTGGTGAGGATTTCATCTCAGCAGCACCTTTAGAAATATAAATGTGTGTGAACAGAAGCCTGCGAGGAGGCAACACGCAGAAGTCCAAAGATAAACCTCAACATCACTGAACATTTACGGAGGAGTGAGAGAGCCCCACATGTCTGACTGGTTTGAGCTGCTGGGAACACTGGCAGAGCTGTGGATCCCAGCACATGCTGCAGCGACAGAGTAAAGATCCCATTAAGACTCACGGAGCGATGATCCAGCAGATCCACCTCGTAGGATCTGGTTGAGAACATCATCGGTGTCACTGCTGCTCGCCATGCTGTTCCTCACCTGCGTCATAGACAACTGGGAGCACAGGCTGGGCTGTCGGTCCATTTTCTTCACAGCCTGGAACATAACCACGACCAGCACCCTCATCAGCACAGCGAGCACTCTCACAGCGGTCACATTACATTAAACGAGATGCTCCGATAAGTCGACACAGCGGGACGCACCTTGTCGCTGAGCGTGGCGTCATTCAGAGAGTACAGTTTGTTGGTGATATCTTTGCCGATGAGGAACCTGAAAACCTCATTCAGGAAAGTGTCTGACTCCAGGAAATAGGTGAGTCTCTCTCGAGACCAACACAGGAACTTGCAGTTCTCTTCTGCCATGATGGTCACCTGTCAATCAAACACATTAACAAGTGTTAAGCTGTCAAAAGGTAGGGATGCAGATTTTTATAGGCTTTGTTTCACGGTTTTCTTGGGCCTGATTGTTCTCATCTATCTACAGACTGACTGAGACGCTGTGCCGGTCTCTGCGTGTCTGTAGACGAACAGAAGTCTGTGAGGAGACGAGTAAGGGAACGTTCAGAGGATTTAAAGTTAAGATTAGTTCAGACTGCTTACATGTGAGGTGTAGTTAAGGAAAAAAGAAGTCAAATGATACCTTTTCACAAGTTTTTGAATTAAGCGCTTTATTTTATGACAACTTTCTCAAAAGCTTTTTGTTATTTCTGAATGCAAAAGAACATTTATTTTACTATGTTTAGTATTATTATTATTAGTAGCAGTAGTAGTACCCTCCAATTCATTGTGAAAAAATAAATAAATAAATATACATACATATACACATATATATATACATACATATACACATATATATATATACATATATATACACATATATATATATACATATATATACACATATATATATATACATATATATATATACATATATATATATACAT